GCAGCGGCACTGTCTTCGCTCGGTAAGTACTGGAGGCTATTTGGGGCATCGAGACTGGCCGTGACCTTGGCTGTGTGGGAATGGGGCCCCCAGGGGTGGAGTGGTCACGCAGTGGGTACATCCAGCCAGGAGGGCACAGGCCGGCACCACTCGAGGGCATACTGCTGAGTGACAGGACAGCGGTCTCCAGGACCATATGCCGATTCCGCTTCAGTGATGGGGACAGACACCAGCAGCCAGGTGTCAGGGTCGGGAGACCGTGATTGCCAGGGCCGCTCAGGGGTGGGCCAGTTGTGCCCCCGGTTGTGTTGGTCATTATAAAAGTCTACGTGTGCATATATCCTTAGAATGATGCACCCCCCAAAAAAGCATGGGAAGCTATTTTAAGGAAGAAAACTTATTTTTTAAATTATGTTTAAGGTATATTTAGAAACAATTTGTCTTAGTCCGTCTTGGGTAGCTTTAACAGAATGCCACAACAGGTAATTTGAGTAGCACTGTATGGGCTCATTGTTCGGAAGTTGGGAATTCCAAGACTGAGGTCTAGTTCTGGCCTTCTTGTTGGGTCACCGGATGGCAGAAGGCAGAGAGAAGGAGAGGACGCGGGAGGGGGCGGAACTCGCCATTTTAAATCTGAACCAATCCCGTCCTTGCACCAATCCCGTCCTTGAGGCTGGAGCCCGCAGGGCCTAATCACCCGTAATGTCCCACCTGCTAATACCATCACAATGGCAAGTACACTTCAACATGGGTTTTGGAGGGGACATTCAAACCATGACAAATATTAGAATCAAGCCATGCAAAATTCTGACCAGAAAGACATGGTAGATAGGTATGATCCATGATACTTCGTAGATATATTTTAGAAAGCAGAAAGATGCCAAATGAAGGACTTCCTAAAGAAAAAATAGCAAGTTGCCATTCGATCTGACCACATTCTTTCCTAGGGAATTCTCTCAGATGGATGTCAAAGACACACTGGTGTGCAAGTCAGACTCCAGGAGGGTCCTGCCTTCTCACGGGGGTAGATAGAGAAACACGAGCCCAGCAAGTGAGAGTTCTTGAATAGTAGTACACCCTGTGAGGGTGAGACCCAGCCACGTGGCTGAGACAGGAGCAGGGAGGTGCCTGCAGGCTCCAGAGCACATGCAGGGACCTCTGAGCAGGTGGCCCTGAGTTCAGACCTGCGCGGAGGGGAGGAGGTTGTCCTGGACCCCCCAGGAAGCCTAGCTCCCTGTGGGGACAGACCTGGCTGTAAGATGGGAGCACTTGGCACCTCTGCGGACCAGAGAGATGCCTTGGGGAGCTGCACCTGTGGGCTGGGGGCGGGGGTGGGACTGGAGAGCAGGGCAGCAGGACAGCCCCGGGCTGTGCACCGCTGCATGGGTGTGTTTGGTGCTGAGAGAAAGCCATGGAGGGGGGTTAAGCGGCCACACAACCTCTTTGTTCCATGCTTTAGAAAGGCCCTGTGGGCAGAACAGAGAGTGGTGAGGAGGTGACACCACAGTGAAACGATGGGGCGAATGTCCCCCTCCTCTGTGGGATCAGAGGGGGAGCCTGACCCCGCCACAGTAGCCCCGGCCAGGTGAGGCTCTCAGAGCAGTTGGCGGGGGGGGAATGGGGCCCCCAGGGGTGGAGTGGTCACGCAGTGGGTACATCCAGCCAGGAGGGCACAGGCCGGCACCACTCGAGGGCATACTGCTGAGTGACAGGACAGCGGTCTCCAGGACCATATGCCGATTCCGCTTCAGTGATGGGGACAGACACCAGCAGCCAGGTGTCAGGGTCGGGAGACCGTGATTGCCAGGGCCGCTCAGGGGTGGGCCAGTTGTGCCCCCGGTTGTGTTGGTCATTATAAAAGTCTACGTGTGCATATATCCTTAGAATGATGCACCCCCCAAAAAAGCATGGGAAGCTATTTTAAGGAAGAAAACTTATTTTTTAAATTATGTTTAAGGTATATTTAGAAACAATTTGTCTTAGTCCGTCTTGGGTAGCTTTAACAGAATGCCACAACAGGTAATTTGAGTAGCACTGTATGGGCTCATTGTTCGGAAGTTGGGAATTCCAAGACTGAGGTCTAGTTCTGGCCTTCTTGTTGGGTCACCGGATGGCAGAAGGCAGAGAGAAGGAGAGGACGCGGGAGGGGGCAGGACTCGCCATTTTAGATCTGCACCAATCCCGTCCTTGAGGCTGGAGCCCGCAGGGCCTAATCACCCGTAATGTCCCACCTGCTAATACCATCACAATGGCAAGTACACTTCAACATGGGTTTTGGAGGGGACATTCAAACCATGACAAATATTAGAATCAAGCCATGCAAAATTCTGACCAGAAAGACATGGTAGATAGGTATGATCCATGATACTTCGTAGATATATTTTAGAAAGCAGAAAGATGCCAAAGGAAGGACTTCCTAAAGAAAAAATAGCAAGTTGCCATTCGATCTGACCACATTCTTTCCTAGGGAATTCTCTCAGATGGATGTCAAAGACACACTGGTGTGCAAGTCAGACTCCAGGAGGGTCCTGCCTTCTCACGGGGGTAGATAGAGAAACACGAGCCCAGCAAGTGAGAGTTCTTGAATAGTAGTACACCCTGTGAGGGTGAGACCCAGCCACGTGGCTGAGACAGGAGCAGGGAGGTGCCTGCAGGCTCCAGAGCACATGCAGGGACCTCTGAGCAGGTGGCCCTGAGTTCAGACCTGCGCGGAGGGGAGGAGGTTGTCCTGGACCCCCCAGGAAGCCTAGCTCCCTGTGGGGACAGACCTGGCTGTAAGATGGGAGCACTTGGCACCTCTGCGGACCAGAGAGATGCCTTGGGGAGCTGCACCTGTGGGCTGGGGGCGGGGGTGGGACTGGAGAGCAGGGCAGCAGGACAGCCCCGGGCTGTGCACCGCTGCATGGGTGTGTTTGGTGCTGAGAGAAAGCCATGGAGGGGGGTTAAGCGGCCACACAACCTCTTTGTTCCATGCTTTAGAAAGGCCCTGTGGGCAGAACAGAGAGTGGTGAGGAGGTGACACCACAGTGAAACGATGGGGCGAATGTCCCCCTCCTCTGTGGGATCAGAGGGGGAGCCTGACCCCGCCACAGTAGCCCCGGCCAGGTGAGGCTCTCAGAGCAGAGGCACATGACAGCTTCAGGCAGGATGAGGCGGGCAGTGCTCCCTCAGGGGGCAGCGAGGACAAGGGACACAGCCAGGAATAGAGGGGACACCCCAGCGTGTCATCACACAGCTGTGTTGTGGGGACCTCCTGAAATAGAGCTGTGAGACTGCGGTCTTGTACACAGGCTCTGAAACCTCTGTTAGGGACAGAGCCCACCACCCTGTGGGCTGTCCGGAAGGCGAGTTGTTAGCACAGAGACACTGAGTTCGGCGGAGGCTTTAATAGAAGCTGAAATAACAAATCATGCCTCCTCACCAAACCACACTCTCACAAACACTGTCTAAACGTTATTCTTGCTAGTTCTTTTAAGAACAAAAATACAGTCCTACATAGAAGTCACAAAAATCAAACACACACTGTACACGTTCTCTGGGGCAGCGTGAGATTCTGTCCAGAAACCTCTCGCATAGACAGAGCTTATCCCCCATCAAAGCCATCGCTACCTGCCACCACACAGTGGGATTTCAGAAAATAGTGCAAGGAGTCGTGACAGGGTTCATGGGAAATGTGTGTTACACAAACCTGTGTGTGGCTTCCCAAACTTTTGCACCAAAATAAACTCATACTCAAATTTCATTTTTCCTGTAAGCTTTTTAAATTCCTTTGTGGCTTAAAAATATACAAGACATTGCTTGGTACAGTTTTTCTTAAGAAAAGCATTCGAGGCCGGCAGGTGGCTTATTGGTTAAGGCATTGGACTCCCACATGACCTACTGCAGTTTGAGCTCTGGACCTGGCGGCTTGCTTTCTCATTTAACCTTTGTCTCTCTCTGGTCAAATTGGAAAATAAATAATAATAACAAATATTTAAAGAAAAAGAAAGAAAAGCACTCTTCGTTAGAAACTTTTTCCATTGTGTTTTGTAGCCCAGATGTCTGTATGTTAGAGACTTGGAGAAGAACCTGCCCCAGGTTCGGTGTCTGGGGCCAGTGTGGACCTGTTAACAGAGGCCGCTTTCCTCCCACAAGCCTCTCCTCCGTCTCAGTTGACTCATCTGAAAGATAAAGAGGTGGAAGCATGTCATTCTGGAGGTCATTTTCCAGCTCTGTCAAGTTCTTTAATTTCCCATAGTGCGTGGCATTGTAACTAAGGATTTACTGAGAAAAACAAGGAGGCCCAGGATAGCAGCGCCCTTGCAGGGCCCAGGGCAGCAGCATCCTCTGCAGGGCCCGGGGCAGCAGTGCCCTCTGCAGGGCCC